AAACGGTTGAAATCCACCCTTTGTTATTTTTTATATTTCATTTCATTACATAACATCCATTGTATTTTCTGTGTATCTGATGCATAAATGCAGACAGGTTAGATGTGTAGCTTGTTATCTGTCTCTCAATTTCCTGCCTCACTGGTTACAGGATGTAAGAATTTATTATTTCATTTAATAAATGTATTTCTTGTTTCTGTCACAGATCTGTAGTGTGACATGCTTTGAATAAGAGCGAGCAATGATCATGTCAACTCATTTGGCAATGGCTTGAATGTAGTGAACATTGCGTGACATTAATTTAATATGTAATAGTTATTGCACTATAACTTTTAAGAGTGAGAGTGGTTTGATTTCAGCCAATTGTTCTCTTTACACTTTTTCTGTTTTTATTATTACAGTATTATTATATTCTAGTTATTTGTGTGGTTTTAAGTCCATGATATTTGAAAAGATGTACCTTATTCTATTTTAAACTGTTTATTAAAAACAATGCAAACAAAACACTTGACTGCTATGCATGTACTCAATTTTGTTTTATTTTGTGTCATAAGTCATAAAAGTCAATGACCAAAAACAGTTCAGAGCATTCAAATATAAATATATAAATACTTAAAAGAACATTTAAAAAATACTCATCTATACTAAAATATGTACAATAGACACAAAAATGCACTCACTACAGAGTGAATGATAACATTTCCATATACATAAACAAATCTCTTTTCAAGGCACTTAGAAGAGAACAGTAGTGCAAAAAAAAAAAGTGCAAAAGTTAACTTGCATCCTGATCAACCACTGCCAATTTTCAACTATTATTCATCTTCATTTATCATCCTTATGAAGGACATTGGTTGAGGCTGGAGGCTTTGAGACTGGGTCTGTTGGGCTGGTTGGCTCTGATATGGTGGATGTGGCACTTGCATTGGCACAGCTGTGTAACCGTCATACCTTCCCTGAGTTGACTGGGAGCCCATAAATGGTACTCCCCCTGGTTGGTACTAACTGAGGGTTGCTTGTTCCCGGGCCTGCTCTGCCTCTAGGGCATCATACTGTATGTTCATAATATTTCTCCTAACTCTTAACTGAAGCACTCGATCTTTAATGCTTAGCTCATTTGCAACTTGTTGACCGAATACCTCCTCACTGTCATTAGTCGTAGAAGTTAACAAAGTTAACTTTGCTAACTCAACATTGTTAGCATCAGAGGACTTTCCCTTTGCTTTGCTAAAGCGTGGTCTTTTGGGGGTCTCATCATGACGTGATGCTAATTCAGTCGAAGATGTTTCCCCCTCTACAGTGGCAGAGACTGAACTTCTAGGGGACTGAGCAGAGGTTGATGGAGGGGAGAGCATCTGGGACATTTCATTGTTGTCAGTTGACATGTCAAGCACCACATCTTCGTCTTCCATTTGCCCCTCCTCTGTCTCATCAATGTCCTCAGAGTCCTCGATGTCAAGCTGTAGTAAATAACACAGGTAAAGACATGCAGAAAAAAATAAGATAACAGAAGGGATGCCAACCAGACCTTTTTGTTGAGATCAAAATCTTTTCAACACAACTGAAAGTGACAGACACTTCACCCAAAAATTAAAGTTAAGTCATGGAAGTGGAAGGATGGGTGAAGTTTTTTAGCTCACAATACACTGTTGGTGTTTCAGAGGAAAATGGTTTGCAGTTATCCCACAAACATTTGAATGAAATGGTGACATTGACCAAAATAAAATGTATAATAAAACACATAACTCATGCAAAGTAATTATCCAAGTGTCCTGTTTTGGAAAATGTCAGAAACACTATGTTTTTAACCTTAATGTGTACTGTAGCCGGTGGCTTTTTATATCAATTCAATCAATTTTATTTATAAAGCCCAATATCACAAATCACAATTTGCCTCACAGGGCTTTACAGCATACGACATCCCTCTGTCCTTAGGACCCTCACAGCGGTATTCCCCCTGGTTGGTACTGAGCCATGTTCACATATGATAAAATATGGCATACAAGGCTAAAAAAAATGGTGTCAGTGATGTTATTAATACAGCAATGCATGTCAGGGCTTTAGGACACCTGGATTACTTTGTTATGAGCTTTGTGGAGGAATTATATGGTTGTATTATGTATTTTAATTAAATCTGAATCCTGGTCACCATTTGCTTCAATTGTTAGGGCATTAACTGCAAACCCCTTTCCTCTGAAACACCAGCAGTGTTTTGTGAACTAAAAAACCCATCCTTCAATCCATGAGTGTGAATGGATCATGACAGAATGTTAATTTTTTGGTGAACTGTGCCTTTCGGATTGCACATGCTCGAAAACACTCTCAAGGTTGATTCCATTGCTCTGTGCATCATATGGGGCTTTAAAAACTCCAAGTGTGCCAGGATCCATCTTTGTTTTGGTGTTAATGGCTTCTGTCCACTGCCACTTGCTTTTGGCTTCACAAGTTTACCATACTGGGTCCTGAGAGATGCAGCTCTGGTTTTTACTTCATTAACTGCATAAAGATGGGAACACATTAGGACCCTGACCAGACAAATCAAAAGTACAATGTACATTCTTCTCTTTGTAGCCTAATTGATCTGCAATAGTCTGTTTCATATGTCCTTCTCATATAGCCTATATACACAAAAACAGGTCAGTCCAAGTTTTGATTCTCTTTCTTCTCTTCTCTCTCTTTTTTCTCTCTCTCTCTCTTCCTCTCTCTTTTCTCTCTCTCTCTTTTTTTTTCTCTTTTTCTGTCTATATCTCTCTCTCACACACACACACACACACACACACCCTCTGTGTATGTGTGTGTGTGTGTGTGTGTGTGTGTAACTGTAACCGTTGTAACTGCCATTGTACCTCGTCTAGCGCGCTAGCTTGTATGTTTGTTGCGCTTGCTTGAAAATGAGAGCAGAAAAAACTAAAAACTTACCAGGGAGCTGAAGAATATTGGCTATCTCCTGCCAGCGTTTCTCTCGTTGATATCGGTCGTGGTAGGTGGAAGAAGAAACGTCGAAAAGGAACTCATACTGTTGCCACAGCTCAACCAACCTGGCCTCCATATTTTCAGTCCACCGATGCGTCGCCATGGTGATGTATGTCTTCGTGCAGGCGCAGTGAGGGATAAATGCACAAACGTTGGCGAATTGGCTCGTGGCTCTGCTTCAACTGTGCGAATGCCTGTGCCAGCCGACCAAAATTTCTGACATGTCAGAAATTCATCCGACCGTCCAACCGCGGTTCTGGAACAGATGATCGGCCCTCACTCCCCCCAGTACACTGCACATCAAAAGACGCACGACGAAGCAGAAATCCGGCCCGAGCGTCCGCAGGTTGTGCGTCTCAAAAATCGGGTCAAATCCGGTCAAAAATCGTACAGTGTATGCTGGGCTTTAGAGAGTTAGTGTTCCATGAAATGGAATGGCTGGGAATGGCATGGAATGGAATTCCTGACAATTCTGAGGCCGGTTGCACCAACTGGTCTTTACTACGCCTAGTCATAACTCCTAAGACGGTATTTGTTAAGACCAGTCTTAAGGAGTGGACTTACGCCGGTTGCACCAACAGGGCGCGTCCATGTGAATGCCCCCGGAATGCCCCTCGCGGCCTGCCTAGAGGAGCGTGGTGACGTTAAATGATGTGCCACTGAATCACCCCGTGTGCTTGACAGATGACAATTGACAGTTGACAGCCCCTCTCATCTGTGTTGACAGTTTATTTACAGTTTAAGATTTGAAGAAAACATGAAGGATCAACGAAAAACTTTACCGACACTGAAATTAGAAAATGAATCAAGCTGTACAGCAAGCACAGAGACGTATCACAAATAAGATAAAACAGTCGGTATGGGCAGAGATAACGGGGCACATCAATACGTGTTCAGACTCTGGCTGCCTTCATACAGAGGCTGACAAGAGGAAGAAGTGGAAAGATCTTCTCAGCAAGGCAAAAAAATACATCTCCTCCAAAAAAAATCATCCAACTGGCGGGGGTCCTCCTCGAAAACCTCAATTTACAGTGTCATCATTGTTGACGTATTTGGGGAGGATTCCCCTGCCTGGTGGGAAGGCTGGTGGTGGTGCTGCATTGCAGCCCAACACAAACTGTAAATCCGGTGACAGCTCTCTCAATAAGTTCAAACAGATCTCTCCTACCGAATTGAAACCTCTCAATCAGCTCCTCGTCATTATATAGGCTATGTCCAATTGCTTCTGTCCCTAATTACCCTCTCCCGTCTAAATGCCCGCTCGTATACAGACGGTGGATGAGACGTGCCATAATAAAGTTGCGCTCTCCGCGCTCTATAGCGCATTAGCACAGCTTGATAATGACCTTACACCTGCTCTTGACTAGGTGTAAGATTTACGCCGGGTCTTAGTGAGAAGAAGTCTTAAGCCCTGTTGGTGCAACCGGCGTAACTATTAGGTCGGACTTAGAACGCCAAGTTACGACCGACTTAGCTTAAGACCAGGCTTAAGACCAGTTGGTGCAACCGGCCCCAGGGGCTCAGATGGCCAAAAGTTAAAATGTTTATTTAATTTCGATGGCAATCAAAATAATTTTATTGCAAAAAATGGGAAGAGAAGGCAAAAATATTTGTTTAATTAGTGCCTATTTTGATTTTTTTTTCCAGTACATCATATCTTTGTGAGTGATCCCTGGATCTGTCTTACACAATGATGATCTGATTATATACGAAGCTTTTAATGCTCTGTTCCATTTTCTTTCCTTTAAATGCTGTCTGAAAATATGCATGTTTGACCCTGGTCCTGGCTTGTTTTGATTTTATGTCTTGTAAGCCCATGTGGGCTGGGCATATCTGTTTGCATGAAACAATAATAAAAACTGTATTAATTCATTCATATAACAATTTGACTTACGCCAGGTCCACAGTGCTGGAATATTGTGCTACTAACATTGTTCTCTAATCATCTGGATGTCAAAATGCTGCTGATACATTGTAATGAAGATGCTTTCAGGCATTTCTCTGGAAGTTGAGCAAATGGGCCTTACATGCCAGTTGTCTGTGAAGGTTTCCAGGAGTCTTTGGATGACAGGAGCCTCTCCAGGTAGTCTAAAAGCCTCCAGGTAGAGCCGCAGGGCCTCATCAATACGAAGCCCCTGGAAGGCGAATGTGCTGCAAAACCCCCCAAAACATTTATTCATTATTTTTAGAACAACCTCAAATGTTTTTTACACTATTAATATCAAACAAACCAAACCAAAACCTCTACACCTCGAAAGACCAGATGGGAAATAACATTTTTAAATGATTAACAAAAGCACAATATGTCCTGGAATTTCAGCGTACTTTACAAAGCTGTCCAGGAGCTCCATGTTTTTGCGATCACTGATGTACTCGCCAATCATCTTTTTGTCCAGGCGGGGGTTTTCTCTGAGCCACTGGGCCACCTGGTTGTTGTCTATGGGGTTACTGAGGAGGCCTTTTTCCTGCAGAAACTGGATCCCCTTCTTAGGCTTCTGGTTAAACTGCTCTGTGCCTGTGATCAGCAGCTGAAAACATGACAAAATGAGCAGTTTGAAGGCTTGGTAGTGGATTTTATAATTGGTTGTGGATGACTAATGTTACAACAAATCTAGATCAATTGACGCCACTCACCTTTTTCTTCGTTTTAATTTCTAATAACTCTTGGGAATCAGGTAAACATGACGAGAAACGTTGAGGTTTTTTAAGGGCTCTCTTCTCAGCTGGATGAAAAAAATGCCATTTATATCAAATTCCATCCTGATGCTTAGGATAAAACTGTGTATAAAACCAAAGACTTGCCAGTGTCATTGTCTCCTTGATCTTGTCTACCCAGTCTCATCTTCTCTGCCATCAAATGTCCACTGGTTGGTGGACACACTGGGGCATTCTCGGCTGGTGGAAGACTCACACCATTTGTACTGTCCAGTCTATTTAGATCTGAGGACAAAAGGAAAATATGTTTTGTTGAAAAAACTAAAAAAAGCTACCAAGGCCAGCATTGCCATTTCTGCACTGAAGCTAATAATGGACTGAAGAAAAAAAAAGGTAGTATTTAATGTTGGCAATAAAGAGAGGAAGACTACCAGTAAATACGAGTGAAAACAACACAGGTGAAGATTCAAACACTCAAATATCCATAAAGTGTGTGTATACCAGTTGTAGTGTCTGTCCCATTTTTGGCTGAACCTTCTCCCTCTGCCAGCAGTGTTTCTGACTGGTCTTGTTCAGCAGCACTGTTGAGCACCTTGGCCTGGCAGTGGGCTTCGGTGCTGTCAATCACTGTGAGCAGAGCCTCCAGTGACAGGAGGTGGGTGGTGTAGAGCTGCCCTGACACTGGGAACGCATTCTGTAGCAAGAGGTCAAAATATTGTTTATCCACCAAAATACTGAAATTCATTTGAAATAAAATGATTATTAGAGACATAAAAAAGAAGGAGGCTAGTCTAAATTTCAGGCTGATACTTTTGGTAGTAAAGAAAAATAATAAGAAAAAAATAATAAACTGTTTTTATAACACACCATTTAGAAACAAGTTTACAAAATGCTTCATAGACATAAAAAAAGAAATTATATAATGTAATTACTAATTAGGGAACTAAGCAGATTAAAGATAACAGCAATGAATAAAAATCTTCAGAATAAATTAAGGCTGCAAGCAGTGATGAACGGGCCCTTGAACCTCTGTGTAAGGGGGGTGCTGGCAGGAAGCTGACTTGGCTGACGTGACTGTTCATTTCTGTGAAAGTCATACACTGCACGCAAAAGTGAGATGGCATATTCTTCATTGAATGCGGACGCTGGAATGACCTTTTTCAAAATTTGTGCCACTTCCTCTTTCCAGAATGGAGCGCTGGAGAACGCACTAATGATACGTCATGTTTTTGCACATCAAATATAGACCACAGCATGTACATTTCAGGTAAATCAAAAGATAAATATCTGAAAAGATGTACTTCCTGTTGCCAGTAGGTGGCACTATGTGTATGACTGAATATTGTAATATAAATGTGTCCAGGGTGGGACTACCATCAAACATTAGAAGTGTGGTGCAGATTAGACCATTTACGTGAAAGTTATTGGAATTTCGTGATTCATGGCGAGACATCAAAACTTGATGCCACGCCACGTTCAATGCTGACCAAATCTTGTAATAACTTTTGATCACAAAGTTGTCTACATGGTACACACCAGTTTTGAAGTCAATCGGATTATGTCTGCAGGAGGAGTTTTTCAAAATGCGAAGCATGGAAAACGCCAAAATTGACCATGAAATTTTATATGGCCGACTTCCTGTTGGGTTTGGCCTATGGGTCCATGAGGGTTTTTTGTGTATCAGGGCATGATACATGTGCATACTAATTTCCATGCATGTCAGTGAAACATGCCCCAGGGGCTGCTCTTTAAAGGGCACGGCCAAGCCATTTTTCCACGCCCACTGTTGAAACTCATATCATATGTCCAGGTCTAGACTATTAAGGAGCATGTTAAGTTTCAGGCGGATTGAACCAAGTACACTTAAGTTAATGCAAAATTGCTGTGTTTTGGTGAAACGTCGAATTTCGCTGCACACCACCAAGGCAACGCGCTTTGATGAAAACTCACAGTTTCGGATCTGGTCAACTTTGTAGGAGATGAACATCAAAGTATAAAACATGTCATTTCCTGTTGCCAGTAAAGGGCACTGTAACTATCACTAATTATTAGCATGTAGATGTGTTTAGGGTGGGACTGTCAATCCTGTGAAATCTGGGGCAGATTGGACCATGTATGCTGGAGTTACAAACCACTTTCTGTTTCGTGGGGAAACACGCAAGTTTGACACCTTGCCATCGTCACATGGATTGACGAAAACTCAAGGTTGTGATAAGTTTTCCCCTTTAAGGTGTTGCGATGGGACACATCAACTTCCTGTTGGGTTAAGAGCACGAGTCCAAGAGGATTTTTTGTACATCTTGGAGTGCTACACGTGCCTACCAAGTTTTGTACATGTAGGTGAAAATAACATCAGGGGCGGCTTTGCGTAAATATTATAGGGGGTGCTGCTGTAGTATGAAACCCTTAAAATATCTATTTTTTCACCAGATGTGATGTGTGTGCAAAGTTTCATGACTTTTCGAGTATGTTAAGGCCCCCAATAAAGGCAATTCATTTGGAGGAAGAATAACAATTCCTTGCATTTCAATAGGGTCCTTGCACCGTGTGGTGCTCAGGCCCTAATAAATAATTTTTTTGTTTTTATTTTTGTCTGTCTGATTCCCAATTGACAGTTATTTCATAATCATGGAGCCCTTATGACAAATGTCCTACTACCCTCTGTATCAAGGCCTGCCTAGGGACCGAGAGCAACAGCTGCTCTGCAGATCTGAGAGTATGAGCAGGGATGTAAGGGGGGAGAAGGTCAATGATGTAAGAAGGAGCAAGTATTCAAGAACAATTAAAAATATTCAAGACCTTTGTAAATTATATTCAAGACTTTTTATTAATGTCCAGGGCTTTTTTTGGTTGCTGTTTTTGAGGGAATCAAATTCAGTGTTTTAACGTCTTTATAACCTTTACCTCAAAAAATCCAATGTTTTTAACATAACATCACAGAACATTTTAACAATGTCCATCAAATCAGCTTTTGGCACAAGATAAACCTGCAAATTTTACATTACTCTTTGTAACACAAAATTGTGGAAGAGGAATTGTGTGACTATTTGAAAGTGAATTTGTTATGATTTGTGAAAAAAGGCACTTGATTGAAGTTTGGCCTATCCACCAAATCTCCCACATTCTTATGTACAACAAAGAATTCATGATAATTTGGATGCAAAGAATCTTAAAATCCTAATATCATAAGTGATCCAATGAGGGGATGTTACCTTGGACAGCAGCTTGGTGAGGTCCTCAAACTGATTAGAGCAGTAGAAGTCACAGTCATAGTTGATATACAGCTCAGTGACAAAGCTGGGAATCCTCCACAACTGGACCAGTGCCTCCAGAGCCATCTCCTTCATCTCATAGGGCATCTTAATGTTCTCTGACGTGATGATGTCCATCAGTTTCTTTAGGTACATCTGCCAGTTCAGCACACAGGTCAAGTCAAGTCAAGTCAAGTCAAGTCAAGTCAAGTCAAACTTTATTTATAAAGCACATTTAAAAACAACCTCAGTTGACCAAAGTGCTATACAGTTATTAAAATACACTGCCTAGCCAAAAAAAAAGTCGCCACCTGGAATTAACTAAGCAAATAGGTACGAGCCTCCTATTGGATAATTACTGCATGGGCGATTATCTTTCAGCTGGCAACAAGTTATTTAACCCCAACTGGTGCAATGAGTTGCTTCTCATTTCCTAAACAACCATGTCGAAAGACACATCCCGTGGTCGTGGAAAAGATGTTAGTCTGTTTGAGAAGGGTCAAATCATTGGCATGCATCAAGCAGAGAAAACATCTAAGGAGATTGCAGAAACTACTAAAATTGGGTTAAGAACTGTCCAACGCATTATTAAAAACTGGAAGGATAGTGGGGACCCATCGTCTTCGAGGAAGAAATGTGGCTGGAAAGAAATCCTCAATGATCGTGATCGGCGATCACTTAAACGTTTGGTGAGATCAAATCGAAGAAAAACAACAGTAGAACTCAGGGCTATGTTTAATAGTGAAAGTAAGAGCATTTCCACACGCACAATGCGAAGGGAACTCAAGGGATTGGGACTGAACAGCTGTGTAGCCTTAAGAAAACCACTAATCAGTGAGGCTAACCGGAAAAAAAGGCTTCAATTTGCTAGGGAGCATAAAGATTGGACTCTGGAGCAATGGAAGAAGGTCATGTGGTCTGATGAGTCCAGATTTACCCTGTTCCAGAGTGATGGGCGCATCAGGGTAAGAAGAGAGGCAGATGAAGTGATGCACCCATCATGCCTAGTGCCTACTGTACAAGCCTGTGGGGGCAGTGTTATGATCTGGGGTTGCTGCAGTTGGTCAGGTCTAGGTTCAGCAACAGTATGTGCTCAAAGAATGAGGTCAGCTGACTACCTGAATATACTGAATGACCAGGTTATTCCATCAATGGATTTTTTCTTCCCTGATGGCACGGGCATATTCCAAGATGACAATTCCAGGATTCATCGGCTCAAATTGTGAAAGACTGGTTCAGGGAGCATGAGACATCATTTTCACACATGGATTGGTCACCACAGAGTCCAGACCTTAACCCCATTGAGAATCTTTGGGATGTGCTGGAGAAGGCTTTGCGCAGCGGTCAGACTCTACCATCATCAATGCAAGATCTTGGTGAAAAATTAATGCAACACTGGATGGAAATAAATCTTGTGACATTGCAGAAGCTTATCGAAACAATGCCACAGCGAATGCGTGCCGTAATCAAAGCTAAAGGCGGTCCAACGAAATATTAGAGTGTATGACCTTTTTTTTTGGTGGCGACTTTTTTTTTGGCCAGGCAGTGTACAATATAATCATACACAAAAAAAGAGTAAAAGCCAAGGATTTTCGCCTAGCTGGTGATGATGATGATTAAGTCGTCAGGATCAGTTTGAACATATTTGCATTGCATATGAGTCACTTTAGAATATATTCAACTGACAGAGCGTAAAGATCACTTAATAAATAAAAAACAATACCATTATCAAACTAGTTATATAGTTACCTCAAGCTGAAACTTTAGATGGACTCTCATACTTTCAAAAAGCAAGAAGCAAACTCGGATGGAGGAAGCATACAGGTTCATACGGTCCACACTCAGCATCTATAACACAAACAGAAATCATTGGAAAAAAGACTTTCAAAACCAATTTAAAAAACAATCAAGCTTTCTTCAAATACAAGTGAGTACTCATCACTGTAACTGAATTGACGTTCCTACTTTAACTGAGACTGAAGGCAAACTTATTGTCAGAATACATTCTACTTTACCTGTAGGAGATGTCTGCAGAGCTCATCCTTGACCAGTCCTAGTAAAGACTGGTGGTTGGAAATGTTTGCCGACTCAAGTGCTACAGTCAGCAGCTGCAGACCCATGTGCATCATGGCATCAGTGTTGTGGCGGTCATGGGGGTTGGTCAGTGAGATCAGGAAGCGAAAAAGCTCCCTTAGACATGGCAGGCCATAAGGGATGAGGGAAGCTCCTACAGGGGAGACAAGAGAAGGACAGAGGTTTACAGAGAACTTCTTAACTTTGAAAATAGGACTCCTATCTGACAAAGAAAATGTTCCTTTGGTGTAAAGAAAATGCCATTACTGTGCAATGCAGAGCCCTCAAAGTCAACTCGTCCATGTCTGTGAAAACACTGATACTTCACACAAATCTTCCCCCCGGGCAGCACAGAAGATTTATACAATCAGCACAGTTTCAAGGTGGACATCCAAGATTAGGGTCACCGATTCAATATCTGATCAAATGTTCTGTTCCTGAGTTATGACATTGAGTAAAGGCCAGAAAAATGTGTTTTATACATAAAATTATGATGTTACAGTGAAGTTGGCCTTTGACCCTTTGGATATAAAATCTCATCACTTTACTATTTTGTCCTTTTAAACTCTTTTGTGAAATTCTGTAAGAAATTAGTGCATGAATTCTTGAGTTTTGGCCAAAAACATGTTTTGTGAGATCACAGTGACCTTGACCTTTGACCTTCAACCACCAAATTTTCTTCAGTTCATTACTGCGTCCAAGTGGTCGTTTCTGCCATACCTGAAGAAATTCCCTGAAGGTCTTCTTGAGATATCACGTTCATGAGAATGAAATGGGTGCAAAGTCACAGTGACCTTTGACAATCAAAATCTAATCAGTTCATTGTTGAGGACAAGTGGACAGTTGTGCCGAATTTGGGAACAAAAAAAAAAAAAAAAAAGAAAATTCCCTCAAGGCGTTTTTGAGATATCGTATTTAAGAATGGGATGGATGGTCAACAGCCATGGCTATCACCACTGCAGAGGCACGATAAAAAACTTTTTATTGCCATCTTTTCATGCAGCGGAACAGTGGCATGAAGCACTACAAAAACAGAACTGAGGTCAAATAGCAGAGAGAAGTCAGAGGTTTTAAAACTCTCAGTTTTCTTACCGTCTCTTTGTGTGGACTGTGTGAAACGTACTCCTCGAGGGTTAACATAGTCCATGTCATGGACAGAGGTGTTGTCTGACTGCTCTGTGATGGAATCTTTGTCCTCCAGAACCTCAGGGATAGACTCCACTGAGGCAGACTGAGCTTGCTCAACTCGCCTGTCCTCAGACTAGGCGCAAACAGACACACAACACAAATCATTAATCATGAAAGCAGTTACAGTCACATACCAGCTCTCTAGAGTTTCTTGGGTTTACACACAACGTGACCACCAACAATAGACACAATTTCATAAAATGAACATATAGATAGATAAGAAAAGCTGAAGAGATTAACAATTAAATAAACAGAATGTTTGTGGCACAAGAAGTGATTGTGTTATTGGTTGTCCTATTGATATTCCAAACAGCCCTACCTGTATATCTGGAGAGCCAGGCTCAGTCTCAGGAAGCGTGGCACCAGTGCTAAGGGTTGCTGCAGATGAGTAACATTGCTCCAGGTCAGAGAGATCTTCCCTGGAGGTGGCTTTGGAACAGGTGTCCAGGCCACTGTCTGTGGTTGTAGGGCTGGAAATGGACGAACTGGCACTCTCTGAAGCTGGTAGGCTAGAGGTGGATGAGCCTTGCTCAATGAACGGGACACCACCTAACAGGAAAGAGATGCAGTCATACAAGGGTCTAACGTTGTCTTTTTACTATTCACCTACATGCACAAATGTATAATTCTGCTCCATCTATCCTGTAAAAATTTGCAGCAAGATGTAAGGTCCACCACAGGTTCTTTCTGCATTTGTTTGCCATGAATGGGGTCAATATTAGACAATTAGACATAATGAAACAAGGATGTTGTCTTAGTCTACTTTTGACCCTAACTACAATTTTAAAAGAAGTGAACAGGCAAATGATATATTTGATATTATTTTAATGCTCACAGGAAGTCCTGAAAGCTGAGGATGGGTCATTGACTACTGATGTGTATTTTCACAACAGTGTGTCTCTTACCTGTGAGGTTGTTGTTACTGAGGGTGCTGGACTGAGTTGCATCCATCTGACCAGAAGGACTTCGGACCATGTGGCGTGGTGGCCTTGGTGAGCGTTTCTGCTTTTTCCATTTGGATGACTCACTCATCCCACCGGCGCGCATCTTCAACTAGAGGAAACAGAGTGGATCACTGAGTAACGCTTCTCCAAGCACACTGTACTGCTGGACCAGACATTACTGACAAGGCCATGATCAGACAGGATGCTTTATTTCTCAGACTGCCAGCTTTTTTATTCATATATGTAAATTTTAGCTTTTTATAAAGTTTTGCTGAAAAATAAAGGGGATGAGGAGCTAATTCTGAGAGGGGAACTCCACATGACGTTTTGATGACGTGTTATACATGCGAGGAGGAGATTTATAAAGTAGCTGATAGCAGTAAGCAGCTAACTCAAAGGACAGCAGACAAAAGTGTTCAAAAAATGAGAAAATTAGGTCTGGGAGCTCCTTACCCTCCAAGCAGAGGACGAAATCCGCCACCATATAACGGAGACAGTAAATGATTGTTGTTGCTATGTTAATGCCATTGTTATTGTTTAGTATTGTTTGAAATGGACTGTCTCAAAGAACAACTGCATATTTTCCCTCCAACAGCATTACCAAAGCTCCATACTGATTAGTCCCAGAGCAGCTGAAAAGAATTTGTTACATTCTGATTACTTACACTGTTAACCTTGTTGCTGTGGCAACACTGTAAGTGTTAACACGATACTGGAATTTCTAACTTTGATAAAATACCTTGAAAAATATTCATATTCAATACACCATGCAGAAAAATTGAGATTGAGGGCATTCAAGGTAAGATTTTTATTAAAAGATAAAAATAACAAGATTATAACATGCCAATGACTCTATTTTTCTTGGTTAATATCAGAGAACAGCAGAATGACTGCAGTAAACATCAGCAATGAGAGTGATGATGCACAACTGGTACTTGTGTATCGATACTGCAGATAATAAGAATTGAAACCCTTTTTAATATTCTGAATCAATATGTACTGATAGATATTTTTTAGCAACACCTAAGTTACTTATGGTCAAGCTTATTTAAATATGTGTGGCAAACATACACCTACCAAACTCATGGTACTCACTCTTGTACAACTGGGACAAAAATGGCAGATGTGCATAAAAGCGATGTAAAAACAAACCCCTCTGGTTTCTAGGGCAACTCTGAGAAATGAGTGGTTAACCTCACTGAGTGAGGTTCAAGAGAGAACATCCTTTTTGATCACAGCCTAAAACAAGCAAGGCTTCAGCTGGGGATTAACCAGCAGGTCATCCCATAAGAAAGTACACAGAAAAAAACCCAACACTGTATGTACATGCACACAAATACTGTACACTAAGAGGAGCCTCTGCCTCCTCTGCTTTGACGTGGGGGGCTGTTATTTTAAAAGGTTCTGTAAAGGCACTGTTTCAGTGCAAGTGTCTCTGTTTATGTATACAAACCATTTACAGTTTGAGACAGACACTCTTTTAAATCTGTTTAGTGACCTTAAATTTCCTTAAAAACAAGCAAAGAAGCTACCAAGACATGCACAGCTGACATAGTATATGAGTAGCAGGATATACAGCAGCTGGGACATATGCATGAGGCTGTAAACCCAAAAGAAGATTCAATTCAAAATTCAGTAACATAATAAATGTAATGTGAGCATTCACAAGCACAGACATGACATAGTGAACTATGGTTAACATGATAAAGACTTGACTTGATGTCCAGAATTATCTAAATCAGTTGATTTGTTCTTCAATAACAGATACTTTCTCAAACAAAGCACATGTAGTTCCTCTTTCTAGCCAAGTTTAGAGAAGTGGAAAGTTAGTGAGGTCTTTTAAATAGAGAACAAGGGAAAAGTTACGGGGAGAGATTCTCCAGCCTAAATACTGAAAGTCATCTTCCTTACCTGCACTCGTTTGTTTTTCCACAAGATATTGTAAGCCTCAGAAAAAAAGGGGAGTGGGCAGGTGCCCGTGATTAGTGATGGGTAACATGTCAGCAGTGGGACCAACACAAAACACACTCTAACATACAGGTTTGTGCATTGTGGAAGGGATGTGGTATCCAAACAGGGTACATGGTTTGGAGACACAGCCACTATAGGCTAGAACTAAGAGAGAACAGCCAGCTAATGAGCAGGCAGTGTGAGTGGACAGACAGACAGATCATGCAAAAGCAAAAACTGCTGGAATAACTTCTTCCAGCTCAATATCCATGTCTTATATAAATACTATATAACAGCAATACAGTAGCCATTCAAACAAAAATGGCAAGATGGGAAATGTTGAGTTAGATTGTGTAATATTACTGTGGCAGAGCTGCATGCATGAATTTGTCACACTTCTAAGCGCTGAACAGGACTGATAAGAAAAAAATCTAACATCAGTGTGGATTTTTGGAGACTATGGGTGAGGTTGGAACCCTCTAGGGGGGTCCGTGGGCATGCTCCCCCGGGAGAAAATTTTGTATACATTTGATTTAAAGGCATCAATCTGGAGAATTCTGAGAGCCAAGTTATGATGGCAGAATATGCATAGATTTCAACATCTTTGTGCTTTTTATGTGTGAAAAATGTTCTATTTTTACTGATGAAAACACTAGTGGTATGTTATGGTGAAGGGTTACACATAAAATACAGCTAAGGATTAGTGGTTAAACATTTCAGTAATCAAAAGAAAAATGACCAACGTACTGATCTGCCTCTAGAGGGTTATTTTATTATTTTAAATCGTGCAGACAACATATTCTTTTAAAACTCTCTCACCGAGCCAAAGAATTCTCAGTAGGCGCACCAGCCGGTGCGCTACAGAGGGCTCCAGTGTGACTACGGCCCTTTCAGAAGCTTTGTAATTCAGCCTTGAACTGTGGTGTCTGTCTGGAGACTTTGTAAAATAAATCCATGATGACAAATTTGACACTGAATGACTTCTGTGATAATCTATCCATTTTTCCATGTTGAAAATGGTTGTTGTTAGCCGTCCCCACTAGCTGTTCATGATGGGTTTTTTTTGTTGTTTTTTTTTTTTTTTTACCAATCAGAGCTGTATTTCTGACTGTGTGGCAGCTGCGCGATGGAAAAATTTGCAACTGTCTCAGCTAAAAAGCCTTAGTGTGAAACTCTTAAGTCTGTTGAGCAGGCAACAGTGACAGAGACTCTGCATAGTGTATGCCCCAACCTCAAAGAGCTCAAAAGATCTTAAGTATTAGCGCAACATATAATGTCATTATAATGTCATTTCAAATAGTTGTAATGCCTAGCTTTTTAAGATTGTTTGATTACTTTTAAATAAAAAGAATGTTGGTCTTGTCTGTGCTGTAATAAAAATATTTGTTTCTTAATAAAATGTAGGGGAAAGTGATTCCACTGTGTTAGCATATATTGATTATTATTTAGATAATATTGGGCATTCCAAATGGCAACAAAAACATTGTGGTCCAGGCTGCACCAACCAGCCAGTGCGAGACCAGCAAAAGCAAGCACACACACATGAACGTGGTGCCCATGTCTCACGGTCTTGCGCAAGCACGCACACACGTGAATGCGGTGCCCAGAGAGGCAGTTAGAGCTACAGGCTACAATGAGGCTAAAAGGTGAGCTAACTCCGTTGTGTTTGATAACATTGTTGAACATAAACAGAAGTGAAGTGTTTTTGTTGCCATTTGCGGAGCCTGGGCTGTCTACAGAGACTGGACTTTTTCATAGCATATTCAGAGGACATGTAGCTAGCGGATTGTGAGGAGATGTTTGCTGTATGTAACAAAAACTTTTCAAGCTTAGGAAGACTAAGAGAGCCTTTAAAATGAATTATGGTCATTTTACCTAAGAGGCTGTAAAGTAAATAGAGTTCTACAGATTACAATATGCAGAAATAATGCGGTGATCTTGATGTCCACATTTCTCAGTCAGCTAAGTGATGCCATTCCATCAATAATTGGATTTCACAGCAACACATACAACTATAGACAGAAACCTAAAGACTGAACAATAATGACAAAAAACAAGGCAATAAAAATTAAGAACAAGAGCACAATAACAACGAACATATTAAATACACATTCAACATTTCAGTTCTTTTACCTTCTTCATGTTGGCACCCACATAGCTCTTGGCTTCCTCTTTGAACTGTGGTAGTCTGGGGGAGAAAAAAATACCCATAGAATGAAGTTGAGACAATCTTTGGGAAAGAATCTACTGCAATAAATCCATCCCTAAGTTGCAGACTACTATATATATCTTTATAAGTACAGGAAACTCTAAACTGTGAATCTGTATCTATAAATGATGTTGTTGATTAAATCAATTGCTGTTATATGCTTATAATTTGTTTCTTCTTTTTCTAATATTTTTTGTGGCACGTATGGCCAAAAACATATTTTATGAGGTCACTTTTACCTTAACCTTTGACCACTGATCACCAAATTCTTATCAGTTTATTCTTCAGTCAGACAAATTTGAATTCCCTCAAGGTCTTCTTGAGATATCGTTTTCATGAGAATAAGACAGATGCAAGGTCACACTGAACTTGATCTTTGACCACCAAAATCCAGTTGGTTCATTGCTGAGTCCGAATGAACGTTTGTGCCAATTTGAAGAAATTCCCACAAGGTGTTTTTGTGAAATTGTGTGTACAAGAATGAGACAGACAAAGTCACAGTGACCTTGACCTTTGACTAACAAATTTCCATCAGTTTATTCTTCAGTCCATTTGGATGTTTTTTTTTGCCAAATTTGAAGAAATTCTCTCAAGGTGTTTCTGAGATAATATGACATGAGAATTGGACAGATGGACTAGAGTATGGACAGACAAGCAGAAAACATAAAGCCTCCAGCCACAGCTATTGCCAGAGGAGAGGCATAACAAAAACCCTGAAAACATCATCAGGGTTATCTCACTTTGGGCTTAGAGACCTTTACTGTACATTTATAACAGAAAGTCAGTGTGACAAACTGGGGGTGTGGCATTTAGAAGACATGGGTGTTTGCCAGGCAGGGAGAGTCTAACTAAAAGATACTCTTTGTTGCTTTACAAGAAATGTAGCATCAAGTGTGTTTGGAGCTTGACCCATGCTAGGTACTAAAAGTTAGTAAAGCTGTAACTATAAGTAAACAACCAGTTATTTTGATGATTAATCAATTAATCATTTGGTGTATTAAATGTCAGCAAATAGTGAAATGTGTCCATATCAAGTCTCCAGAGTCCAACATGACATCTTCAAATTTCCCAATTTCAATGAGACCATGAGATCTTCACATGTAAGATGGTGACATGAAAAAAGCATCATAATTGTTGCACACAGCTGATCATTTCGCTTCTCAAAGTCAGGACATATCTTGCCTTCTCCTGCTTTGTTTTTGACTTCTTCTTCTTTTTTTTTTCTTTTTTTTAATAAATCGGTCTATTGTGAGTCCCCCAACTCGATTTAAGTGCAATACTTCATTTCAAACGTACCCCTTTGATGTATTTGCTGAACCCTAAACAAATGCAACAATTAATGCAAAAGGAATGTAGAACGTGTCCTAAGCTGAGAGGCTACAGAAGAGGTAATATCACAGTGGGAATATCACCATTTTAAACCTGAGCCGTAAATACACCTTTCTAGCTTTTGATGAGCAATGCTGGATGCCGTTCTCAAGGCATCACACAAAGACAGAGAGACAAAGTGTGTGTGTGTGTGTGTGTGGTGTGTGTGTGTGTGTGTGTGTGTGTGTGTGTGTGTGTGTGTGCTGCCAGGTTTCTGTGGACTCTAAAGCTTTGCTGGAAAATTAGATGTCACCACCAGACACACACACATACACACAGACAAACAAAAAAAAAAAAAAAAAAAAAAGGCAGCAGCCCCCCTTCTGACATTAACTCAGTCTTAATAGAGTGTTGTCTTGCAAGCACGATTATTGGATGATCTGTGGGTCCAACAGATTAGCATGCCTAATACTTTCAGCAGGCAATCTAAGATTACTTTCTGAGGAGCTGAAGAGAGCTGCTGTTCATCATTCTCTGATGAATGGTTGGGGGGGGGGGCAGCCATACCCTCTCACATCTCTATTATCCTGAGTCTGTGGACAAGTGGGGGGGCTAGGGGCTGGACATGGACAAAATGAGAAGTGTGTGGTGTGTGTGTGTGTGTGTGTGCGTGTGTGTGTGTGTTTGTGTGACTGTGAGCAGTATCTGAAGATGTAGTGGCCCACAGTAAAATGATATCTCCTATTCATGTGCAGGGATGCCTCTGTTTATGACTGTGGCTGCCGTGCTTCTCTCCTTCCATGCTTGCACAGTAAAATAACAAGATGCCATACAAGAGTCCTGCCAATAAATCCTAACAAGCCACGAATGCTTAGAGGGAGGGTCAGTGTATGGCGATAAGCTTGTCAAAAACCAACACTGGACTGCACTGAAGGGAAGATAACCCATCACTTTGTGACAAATCCTGTGTCAAACAGTCCTGGTGGAAACAGACACGCCTTTAGAGAGCAGGTGAATAACACCATCACTTTATTTTGAGCTCTGTTTGTTCTGCAGGTGTGCTCCTTCACATTCTGATGAGCAGAAAGCTTTTTATGTCGTATGTGTATGTATTTCCTGATTGTTTCTGTCTGGGATTGCTGGCATTGCTAATTCTGTATGTGTGCCTGTGTGTTTGTGTGTAGATATGCTTCTCAGTATTTATGGGGTTGGGAGCTTTGCTATTGAAGCAGGGACCAGCTTCATCTATATGCAGATCATGCGGTGTGCAGCTGAATTGGCTCATCCCCTTGTCTGTGACTGAATGTGACTGGCACTCTGATGCAACTGGACGGGGTGGTTTGTGTGGGGGGTAATGTGAAGAGAGGAGCTCTTATGCTAAATGCCAAAGGAGAAATCATGTTATGGCATTAGTGAATCAGTGGTCCATTGACCCCTGTGCACAATGCAAAAAGAAATTTATGAGCTTCAAGGGGAATAATGAGCCCTGAGAGACAGATATATACAGAAAACCGACAGTCTCTAATCAATCAATCAATTCAATCAATTTTAATTATAAAGCCCAATATCACAAATCACAATTTGCCTCACAGGGCTTTACAGCATATGACATCCCTCTGTCCTTAGGAACCTCACAGCGGATAAGGAAAAACTCCCGCAAAAAAACCTTGATTGGGGGGAAAAAAACAGTAGATAGTAGGAGGGATCCCTCTTCCAGGACGGACAGAAGTGCAATAGATGTCATACAGAACAGATCAACATAATAAGTTAACAGTAATCCATATGACACAATGAGACAAAAAGAGAGACAGAGAGAGAGAGAGAGAGACAGACAGAAAGAGATGCAGGACAGACGGTAGTGACAGTAGCTTACAGCAACATTAATGAAAGTAATAATATTATAATAATACTATAATTGTAATTCTGGCTATTGTGGTACAATATGTTGTAGGTATATATTAATATCTGTTAAACAACAGTTAGTTCCAGCCCTGCAATCTGATTGGTCGAGAGACAGTAAAACCGTGACGATATTCGAGTACAACATCACGGTTATTTCACTGTGTATGTATCACTCCGCCTCACAGCTGATTGCAATCAACAATCAAATCAAAACTGACAGTGTCAGTTAGGTCAGCAGTTGCGCTGTAGGCTAATTCATTCATCCACTGTCAAACAGCCAAAAATATGGATTTATTTCCTAAAATAAGTTTTGAATTGAACTATTAATGGCATGCATCCCTGGAAAAGTATTTAAACAAACTTCCACCAGATGCAAATGCCCTTTATCTGAAGCCCAGGACGGCAGCAGCTCACACAGACAATATCTGGTACACTAAAGCTCCGCTGGGAATAAACTCACTCGCACAGATGCTGCCGAAGATGTGTAAAGAGGCAGGGACAACAGCTATCTGCACCAATCACAGCCTTAGGGCAGAAGCTGTCAGATGCAGGACTTAAAGTGAGGGAGATCATGACAGTGAGTAGGCACAGGTATGATGTTGTTTTAACGTAGCCTATGTGTAAAGTTAGTCTTCTAATTAGGAGTCGGGCCCTAAAGTATAACGTTTGTCTTGCAGGTCTGAGAGCTCATTAAAAAGCTACTGGAAGCCATCCATGGAGAGCAGGAAACGATGGAGCAACATGAGGGGGGGGGGCAGAGTTGCCTTGCTTTTAATCTGCCACCAGAGGTAGTAATAGCACCAAAGTACGTAAACTAAATTGTTTTTGTTTAAATAAGCGGCTGAAGGATTTCATAGAACAAATAATGATGGAGTGTGCAGCCGCAGCCTTAAGGGGCGATCACACAGAAATGAGACGCTAGAGACGTGGATGCTTCAAAGACGCTTGAAATGCTGGAAGCGCTTATTCAATGCGCGCTAGCTACTGGCGTCTGACGCTCAAAACGTTGAAAATATTTTAACTTTTCAGCGTCAACGCACGTCTAAAAAGAAGTGTCTACAAAAACTCACGTCTAAAAAGACGCCAGAAAAACGCCCATCTAAATGGATGCTTGAACGCCGGTCAGACGTGCCGTATCATAGGAAAACAATGGTTTTACAGGCGTAGCATTTCCGGCGTTTCATCTCGGTGTGATCGCTCCCTTACAGGGCCTTTATAGAGATGGTTTATAGGGACCATGGACACTCATCAAAGAATATGTAAACAAGAAGCATATACATTTAGTTTAAGAACTGTTATGAATGCTTAAAATAAGCCAGTACAAGGAATAGGATTCTGAACCCCCTTAAGAAGGCAGCAGAAACCCTCTCAAGATGGATTGGTGATATAATGTTCTCCTAAGCAAGTATATTATTACTGATGTATTTTAGTCGATAATCTCTGGTGAACTGTCTTGTGTGGATTGTGTTGTGTTTTTTTCACAGTATTGTGTTTGTGTATTTGGTTTTTGTAGTGTCATTAAAATGTAAAAAAAATCTTATGCCATTGTTGTTTAGAAAGCACCGCCGACACGTTTTGTGTCGCACTTAGAGCACCACACAACACCACTCACAACCTGTCTTAATCTTTATGAAAATCCATTTTGTTTCTTTTGATTAGTGAAACACTTCAGAATCATCAGGTCTTTTTTATGTTTCTCTTGTTCACCATGTTGGTATACCTGAATGAATTATGCTTTGATGCCCACAGTTTTTTTTAAATGAACTGGACAATTAAACTGTGGACAATCTAACCATGCTTAGAATGTGTAGTATGTCCATACTGACAAGTTTAAACATTTATATTTGTATGCACGATCTAAGCAGCTTAGCAGCTCAAGTTGCTCAAGTGGGTAGATAACCCAGTGGGCTCTGAGAGGTTTTATACATCCAAATACATTTTTTTTTTCTTTTAAAGATAAGTTATTACGCCTTTTTTGCCTTTATTAGACAGTACACAGATAGGCATGAAAGGGAGGAGAGAGAGAGAGGGGGCGACATGAAGCGAAGGGCCACAGGTCAGACTAGAACCTGGGAGGCTGTTCAGGAACCTACAGTATATGCCCACTTGGGGCACACACTCTACCAGGTGACCTACCAGGGCGCCCCCACCCAAAGAACTTCTATAAATATGGACTGTTCCTTAGTATTAATGGCAACCAGACCAGGTGTCTAACTGAGACCTGGATTATTTGACAAAACGTGTAGCCACACCAGTGAAGTTTTACAGTACAATAAAATTAGATTAGATAGGATCAGACAGTTCACCCAACAAAACAGTCCTTAAACAAGCATTATTTTTAACATATCAAAAAACACATGGTGTTAAAAGGCAACTTCACCAAAACTGAGAATTCTAATATAATATTTCCATGGCCTTGGAAAGTTCATGTGTGAACATGAGCTGCTCTCTCTCAAAGCCAGAAACCAAAGAAGGAAGTCTCAAATTTGTGATGTCATAGGGTATACAGTCTGAAGCTGCTTCATAGGCAATGAATGGAAGACTGTTTTTTTTTGGACCCACAGATTGTTTTCTTTTTTTATACCCAACTGAGCTTTATTCTATTGTAGTGTTCTCTGTTGTGAAAAAGAAAGTACCCATACACTCAGAACATTCCCCTGGCTGCTCTCAGCGTCATCTAGAACATCTTCCACCATTCATTGCCTGTGGAGCAGCTCCACACCTCATACTACAGGTCGACCAATAGTGGATTTTTAAAGGAGCTATATGTAAGAAATCTAAAGCAAATAGTCATAAAATCCTCCTAATATGTCACAGAGACAAAGGAATAATGTTCATATAACATGCTGATCTCACCGACAACAATAGTACAGCCAGAATATTCGCATTTAAAAAAATATTTTACGGTCTGCAAATCATGTTTATGTTTTGAATTTGTGTTTTGGCCTGTTGCGCCACCCACCGCCGTCTACCAGTCACACAGTCAGTAGAGTCTCAGCATCAGTTAAAGTTACGACTGAGCTACAGCAGCACGGCAAGCAGCATTAGCAGTGTCCCAGTACATAGCATTAGCAGCCGGCTCCTCCGCTGTATCCCGGCAGCAGCGTTAGCAGCAGAGAAGCAGGACTTGCTCGAAAAGTCAACTGGAAAACAGAAGATCAAGGACGAAGCGACACGGCCCTGCCACGGCAGCCGCCCATGGGCAAACAAATCAGTCTCCAGCGTGCCGCTGTCCAGCAACCTCAAATCTGTAGGGGAGGGGGGGCGGACACGACTCATGGCAGTATTTTGAATTTGAGTGCAGTAACCGTTTTGGCCACATTCTTACATACAGCGCCTTTAAAGGCAGATATAATAACGATAGTTTGGAGTAGGAAAAAAACAATAGCCGTTTAGCCGATAGTTAATCGGCCGATTCTATGTATCTACTGGCACAGAAGGGCTCTTTAGGACTAGGTACATACAGTACATTTGTGCACAGTAATGAGCAGGTGAAATGTCTGTCTAGCTTACATATGAGGTGTCTCAAGATTTAGGAAAATACAATTTTAATGAACATAATAAAAGAAAAAAGTCACTTGACATGCTGCTGTTTTGTGCTATGACCTATTTAAGTGCTCGAAGTTGTTATTTATGTGACAACGCCTGAAGGCAACACAGGCTCCGCTCCAACTGAGTGTGTGTACAGTGCCTTGCTGCGCTGCTATGTGAGCAGCGTGTTTGTCTGTGCGTAACAGCAGTCTGTTGATGGTCATTTACACACTGTCCATAACAATAACTATGTCAACTAACAAACTGCGCCGGGCTCGGGTCAGGTTTGGTCAGGAAAATGCTCTAGCGTGCTCACCTGTGTGTGTGGCGGAACTCCACCATGCATGATGCAGAGAGCAGAGGAGAATTGTTAATGCGTAACCATGTAGACAAACATATACTGTTCAGAACCACAGAGCTCCACTGCCCTCCTTTCTCGCTCTTTCGCTCTCTCTAGCAGCCCCTCCCCTCAGCGAAATGAGAGAGAGAGAGTGGGGGAGGAGAGGCAACAGCTTGTTGCGCTGCAGGGGAAAAAAACTTTGCAACCATCAGCAACTATCGGAGCCTTTTTTCACCGATAACGATAGTTCGAAAATATCCTATCGGCGCCGATTAATCGGCCGAACAGATTAATCCGTCGACCTCTACTTTATACCCTATGACATCACAGATTTGAGGTTTAGCACTTTAGTTTTGGGATTTGGGAGAGAGTTGTTCATTTCTACTAATATTTTTGACTGTCTTAGACCATAGGAATAACATGTATGAATCTTGAAATTGGTCTAGTTTCCCTACTTAGTCTTAAACACTAAAGGAGTGTGATCATTTAGGTTCAGCTGAAAACAATCACCTAACTTTAAATTGCACCCATCTCAATTCACCACTGTCCCATACATTTACCTAGAGAACAGTAGCTGCACCATGTCAACCAGTGTATGTTCGGCTGATTTCCTGAGGAGCTCTGCAAATACAAAAGAGAGACAGACATTACAACCAAACTGAGAAAAACAAAGAAGCAAATACTGCAGAGACAGCCAGAGAGACATTTACATCAACTTCAAATACAGGCGGGTTTATTTGCGTTCTTTTTCAGAATTTTCAACTGGGAACGCCCACTCAGCAATTAGCAAAAATCAGTGAGGTAGGTAAGAGTGTCAATTGCTGTTAATAATAGTAACTGAAAGGGTTAGTTAGTTGGTTAGTTAGTAAAACCGTCTGGAGTTTGCTTGTAATACTTCTTAGAAACGTCTCTCACGTCAGACATAGAGGTTGATGAGTATTTATTGCGACTCACCGCTTAGGCGCATCTCGAAGCAGATCCTGAAGCAGGACTGCATAATCTCACAAACAGACTCGTTGGTCAGATGGGATCCAACTGGTGTCAGCAGCAGAGTCCTCAGCACCTGAAACACAGTATGATATGTCTGTACTAAATTCCTTTGTCATATCAGTGACGTTTATCTAAGTAATTAAGATGAGGAATTGGAACTAATCATTAGCTGAAAATGTCAAGTAAAATCACACTAATACCACTGCTACATGCATGTTTTTTTTTCCCCAGCACAAACATATACTGTTCAGAACCACAGAGCTCCACTGCCCTCATTGATAGACATTGCGGAGGTACCAAAAGGAGCTTGAAAAATGTGTAGTTCACTTTCCAAGCAAATGCTGGGATTTAATTGGACATGAAGGGAAACCATGCATACCTCTGCAAAATCTGTGCCCAGCTAACCAAATTTTAGAGATATTGGTGACACTTACAGCAAAATAGTGAACAAAAGCATCCTGTTTCCATAGATAGTGCTAGGTGATATACTGAATATTCAAGACAGTTTTATGACAGACAGTTGGAGTACAAACTGATATGACAATTAATGCTCTTCGTGTGCATTCATTTGGTCATGTGTTTACATTTATGTATCAGTAAAGGTTAAGTTGGTACGGTGGTCCAGTGCAGGGTAGTGCCACCACTTGTATTTTGGGTTTCTGTCTGTAACTTGTGTTGTGACATTAAAGGTTGTGAATTCATCAGCTATAAAGATAATATATATATGACGCCCTTGTTTCGAGCTGAAACAAGGCCGTCATATCCAGCATCAAATCTGACCTTCTCATTGTTACACGATTTCTGATCGAGCAGGGAAAAAAAGGGAGAGAGAATTGTCTTTTTTCACACCATCTTTTTAACCATCTTGTCCTGCTCTACTCATGACTCTTTACTCACAAAAGTCTTGTTCCAACTACATTTTTAAGACCCCAAAAATTCAATTAAATTAACACTTGTGTCTCAGTTTCAACAAAACATTAACAGTAAGCTTCACAAAGGTCTCAGTTAATGGAAGGCTGCTACACTGTACTGCATTAACTTGTACAAGGACTGAGAAAGCATGAACCTCATTTGACGGGTCCATCAGGTCAGTTCAAGACCGCTGTAGTTACTGGTAAACATATTGTACCTGTAGAATTTTCATGAGGACCACTTCATCGCTGGCAGGGTCTGTTCCCACAAATCTAGCGTGTGTGACTGCATCTGCCATGTTCTCAATGGCTTCTGCTGCTGCTTCATGGTTAGCATCTGTAAACAGAAAAGAAACACACAATTCTCTCAGACAACTGACTCAGAAAATTCAGACTTGATTAGCTTGATCTTGACAGCGTTTAATAGGGAAGAACACTAAGAGGAAGCCAAGTTACTGAGGGTAGCCGGAGTCTCAGAGGTGGGATTGATTGTGCATATGGAAAATCTGACAAATGATTTGTGTGTTTATGATTAGCCTGCAGCTGAGGCAGTGTCAGTAAGTGTGGAATACATTCAGTGGCTACTTTCAGTAGGTAGGCCTACATCTCTACCATCTGATGCAATCTAACACAACAGTTCCACCATAAATTTGGCCTTCATAAAGCTTGTAAGTTGAGGCTCTGGTGACACAGTCAGTGAGGTTTAAATCCAACTATATGGTGATTGATGAGATCATACATACAATGTGGTGGTGTTGAACTGGAAAACCTTTTATTGAAAGGTGCTTCGAATGCCCATGTACTTACAACATGAGGGAAGCTGAGTACTAAGCCCCTTTCCCATTGCACAAAAACCCGCCAACACCCGCTAACACCTGGCTTTTTCAATGTAATGGGAAAGATCACGATCCACATTCATGCTTGGGGCAATTTTACTTTGGATAGTTACGGTTATTTACATTGATGGAAACACAACACTCAGGTGAACTTACCAATTTTAGACTCCATATAAGAAGAAGTAACCACTGTCAAGTTTTCACATGCTGCTCTCTACTGTTTACTAACCTGTTTTCTGCACCGTCTGTGAATTCAAATGTGACACACTAAAAACCCCTTTTTCAATTCTTTTTTTTTTTTTTTGCCACTTTCTGACATTCTATAGACAATTATTATTAGCTGTTATTATTAGTCATATTTCTACTACCATTATACACATTGATTATTAGTCATGTACATATACTATCACATGTTAATATATAATTACAACAGATGCTACCACAATTACTGTTATTATATTATAATATTATTACTAAAATTAATGTTCTTTCTCTGTCTCTGTCTATCTTTATGTATCATTTTGTCATATGAATTACTGTAAATTTATTATGTTGATCTGTTCTGTACGACATCTATTGCACGTCTGTCCGTCCTGGAAGAGGGATCCCTCCTCAGTTGCTCTTCCTGGGGTTTCTACCAATTTTCTCCCCATTAAAATTTTTTTTTTTTTGGGGGGTGTTTTCCTTATCCGCTGTGAGGGTCCTAAGGACAGAGGGATGTAGTATGCTGTAAAACCTTCTGAGGCAAACTGCAATCTGGAAATCCATCAGTAAAAAAAAAAAAAAAAAAAAAGATTTTTTTTTTTTCCTTCCTTTCTACAATGTAAATTGCAGAATCTGTCTTGAGAGATTAGGCAAATTGTGATTTGTGATATTGGGCTTTATGAATAAAATTGAAAATTGAATTGAATTACATTACAAAGGTATATCTGACAAAGTGGTCACTGACTGTATGTTGACCATTTGAGAGTTTTAGCCATTTATCTCCCTCTACAGCCAACAGGGTAGGGGTGTGCCATATCATATCATTCACAATAGTACAAGTATAATTTTTATACTTTATTTATATACTTTATTTTTTATTTAATTCGACGACGTACTGCACAGAGGGAACTCATTCATCCTCTGACAGCAGCATAATGTCTCTCCCTCTCTCACCATGCACACATGGAGTCGGTGTCGTCAAGTGATTTTGTCATAAACCTTTGGTAATGTAAACCTAAGCGATGCACGCAGCTCAACAAAAAACTACATATATGTGAATGTGCAATAGTTACTGTAGCATAACAGCCTTTCACAGGTTACAGTGTGATGATTAGAGGAGAAATGGCAGAGCATAAAGGTCCAGGTAGAAAAAAAAAAAAAAAAAAAAAAAAAAAAGGCAGCAGCACCCCTTCTGACATTAACTCAGTCTTAATAGAGTGTTGTCTTGCAAGCACGATTATTGGATGATCTGTGGGTCCAACAGATTAGCATGCCTAATACTTTCAGCAGGCAATCTAAGATTACTTTCTGAGGAGCTGAAGAGAGCTGCTGTTCATCATTCTCTGATGAATGGTTGGGGGGGGGGGCAGCCATACCCTCTCACATCTCTATTATCCTG